TTGTACTCTTTTCGAACTAGCACATTAGTCTGGTTGCTGACTTCCATTCATTACAAGACAAAAAATCTCTTGAGAAGATTAAGGAATAATTTCTCATAAAAAGAAAAGGAATAAGGTAAAACATAAAAAATAGTACAAAAAAAAGAAGGAAATATCAGATCTGAACACTGACCCGCTTCTTGTATTTCGGATTCGGATCCATCAGATAAGATCGAAGTGATTCTAAGCTGAACCCTCCGCCAAAACCCTGCCCGTACCCGACCCCAATACCCGCTCCGCATCCGATTCCAATTCCAAAAACCGCCGTCAGCTGGTTCCACGCGGGGCCGCCGAGACCGGCTGCTCCGACAACTCCTAGACCCAATCCGACTCCACAGCCGATTCCGGCGCCAACTCCGGGACCAAGTACGACGTCGTTTGCCTTCCGACCGGTTTCGCGGAAAATTTCGGGTACCGTGTACATCCTGTTTTCGGAATTTTCGGTTCGAAAATCGATCCGTTTCCATTTCCATAGGGATGTAGATTTGGGTTCGGTCTTGTGAAATCCGTTGATGTTAATCAGATTTTCCTTCATTGTTGGCTTGGCTGTCAAAATTGATGAGAAGATTTTGGCCTGTGAACACGGTCACGCCACTGAAACTGATAACTAGAAACTCGCGAGGATGTGTGTGTGAACTGTGAAGTACTAGATGATATTATGACATTTATTGGATACTTTTTATTTGGTGTAATTTTTTGTATTCAAATAATTAATGATTGTGTGATATATAAAATAATATAATTAAAATATAAATTAATTATTGTTTGGCCTTTTGTTATGAAAATGTGGGTGGATGAATATTAGATTTTATAGATAAATTAGTAAGATATTTAGTATAAAAAATGTTCAAAATTATGAATTGGTAACATGAAATGCATGAATAATATATATCTTTATTGATGGATGAGATGTGAGACTCAAAGTATATTTAACTCACAAATTATTTTGGTGTTGTATAATATTATATTCAAAATTTTGTATTTATTTTAATATTATAAACCAAACATTAAAAATTTATACATGTACTATAAATGTATTTGTATGTTGAAAAAATTATGATTGTTAAAGTAAAGCGACTTTGGAAAAAATTACCCTGTTGGGGTCGTTTCTGTCTGTTTTTATTATCCCTTTGGAATTTTTAGTGTCGTTTTGTTATTTTTTGTGTTTCTAGAGTATTTCCCCGTTGGGGGACAGTTTTAGGCGGGCTTTAGGCCTGTTCTACCAGTTTATTCAGCTGTTAGCTGCTTGTATTCAGCCGTTGGTTGTTTGTATTCAGCTCGTGGTTGTACTTTTACACATTTGTGAGATTTTATATAATATTTCTATCGTTCTGAAAAAAAAAACTAAAATCATGTGTATTCATGAGCAGAGAAATCAGAGGGTCTCTCAAGAAGGAAAAAAGAAAAATAAAGATGATGTCGTATATCAGTCACTCAGTTCAATTTTGAACAAAACATATTGCTAGCCACTGAACTTGAACTAATGATGTTCAAACAGATCTAATTACTTCGCAATAGCTGACAGTTGACTGTGATCTTCTTTCACATTCATTAGCTTAGCCAGGGAGAAAAGTAAAAAATACAATCAGAGTAAATATTGTCATTAAAGATAGTTATGTTGAACGTTGAACTGACCAATTATCGTCATTATGATGAATAACGGGACATACAACAGTGTCAATTAGTCAAAGCAGGATGCCAAAGTCTGCATATTCATGCATCAAGTATCTTGAAAACTAGGCATAAAGTAAATTTGATGTGCATGCTTGATCCATGAAACAAGCTAGCTATAGAAATTTAAACTTTAAGAAAGCACCAATGCATATTAGGAAAGATACTCAATAGAACAAGAGAACACCATAAACATCACTCAGTCATTCAGTCCAAGAACATTCTCCCCAGAGGCTTAGAGCATCTCCAGTGTAGGCTGTCAAAGGAAAAAAAATCTATGCCATGTCACAATGTCTTCATATTTTCACTTTCAATCCACACTGTCATGGGGCAGTTTTTTTTTTGATGTGGCATAACAGTAGTCAAGCTTACTGTTTGCTTTCAAACAGTGTATTGGACAGTCTGAGTCAGGAATAAACGTGAAAAAATAGCGCACTGGAAGTTACCAAGAATTTTAGTCTCTTTCCAAATAATTCCATATTAACAGTTCCATTCATTTTATGCCATGTGGTCACTATTTTTAAGGGTGGATATTTCCACATTGAAGATGCTCTTATAACTGAGCATGGTTGGCATTATCCATGGGTCATTTTTTTTCTTAGTTTCTGGTGAAGAAAAAGTAAAAAAGGAAATTGATAAATTTTTTATTTTGAAATAAAAATTTAAATGGCGGGTATTCGGAATTACCTCACCAACTTGAAAATCGTAAGAGCTTAATGCCTTGTTCAAATGCAAATGCTAATATGGCTATAAAACATTTTTTTACAAAAGCATGGCTAAAATTTATCTTTTGTAAATTTAAATGGCTATTTAGTGGTAACTCTTTCATAACAGATTCGTGAATAGTTCTTTTACAGTTCATAGATTAGTTAGAATGTGCTTTTATGGTGTTCTCAATGATATGATAAAGAAAGGAATTAATTTTTCTGACTGGTGGCGGCAACTTTGCTCACTTTCTTACAAAGCCATCGATGAGGATATGATTCAATTGTCTACATATTTATTATGGTGGCTTTGGAAGGCGCGCAATCTATGAGTTTTTCAAAAATAGTGGCTCCCGGAGCTTTGTTTATTACATCAAGCTGTCCGGGAATGGAGAGAATTCAAGGCGATATAATCAGTTAGCTTGTGAACTAGGAAAGATGTTGTAGGTCTTGTGGCAGTGCTTCATCTTGGTCTTAGTTCATGTTTTTTTGGTTTTGATGTAGTCATTATGTGTATTAATCTATAGGTTACCAACATTTCCTAGCTGCCTATAGGTTTGTGTAGTATTTATCTAGATCACGATTAAGAGATCTCCCATTTATTCAGGCTATTATTCGAATTTCCAGGTTATGTACTTGTATTTGAACATTGTATTTTATTTGGATTAATGTGAGTTCTCCTATCGTTCCGAAAAAAAATTAACTTTAAATGGCTATTTAGTTGTATTAACTCTTTCATAACAGATTTGTGAATAGTTCTTTTGCAGTTCATAGATTAGTTAGAATGTTCTTTTATGGTGTTCTCAATAGTTTGTTCATGACCAAGTTTGCTGATCTCGTCATTGTCGTAGCTCTTCGGCGATTCTTTTTTGGTGGACTAGCCCATTACTTTGTCCCACAGTTGCAGGGCAGCCACTACCAATAAGTCGCATACCAGTAGTATGTGTACAACTAGCAGTTTGTATTTCACCTCCCAAAAGTACATTTCAATGTCAATGAGTAAGTACTATCATCTTGTTCGAAGGGTAAGAGTTAACTCAAGAAACAAATGTGCTATTGTGTCTTTAATGATGTGCCTGGAATATTAGTCTATTGAGATTTCCGATCGAACCACCTTGCTCAGAATGCCTCGAAAACCACAAAAAGGATCACCCTGCAAGCATCGAGGAGGTTGAAGCGAGTAGAGGTTTCGAGCCCGTGAAAGCGCATGATTGGGCGAGAAGAGCTTGCACGAGAAAGGCCGCACGACAAGCTAAGAGCGCGCGCAAGGCCTCACGACGGGCGAACGGCCGTAGCAACACATGCCGACCTGGTTGAAACACCACGCGAGACAGTGCTTAAGTCAATCAGGCAGTCAACGCGCGACTGGAAGACGACCCGAGAAGACCGCGCGGATACATGGGTGAAGTAGCGAGGATCGCGCCGAAATAATCGAGCGAAGTGGTAGCGCACGATGGGCGGGGGCGTGCAGCGCAGACGCGCTGGGACGAGGCAACACGTGTTGGCGTATATACTGAAAACTTAGAGCATGTTTGTTTATGAAATTTTTTTGGATTTGATTGGATTTTTTTGGTTTGGTTTGGTTAATTTTTAAAATGTGGTATGATTAGTTGTTAGTGAATATATTAAAATAATATTTAAAATAAAATTGATGTAAAAGTAGGAGAGAGAAGACATGATGCGATGGTTAGTTAAAATTATGTGAGTAGATGAATAGTGAATTAAGGTTGATGTGATATGTATAAACAATTGATTGATATTATTTAATTATATTGATAATATTGATGATAGTGGTGTTGAGTTAAAGTTCAGCTAAAAAAAGTGGTTGAGTGAAAATGTTAGAAATATTTTAAAAATTATTATAAACAAACATGCTCTTAGCTTTAGATGTTATTTACACTAATCCCGATTGAGTGAGAATCATGTTAATTAAATAAGTTTTGATTAGTCAGAAAAAGTGTGTATTTTATATATTTATTAGCATATTTTTATATATTTAATTCTTATCGCACTTATATGTTTTTGGACTTATTTATTTATTTATTAGATATATTTGAGTGCTATGAGATTTTTGTGCATTATTTTCAGACTATTGAGTTACTTTTATGGACAGCGCGATATTAAACGGAAATTCGGGTTGGCAGAATAAGGAGGCGGCCTAAAACATATTTTGTTGGAGGAGATTATTTTGAGAGGCAATTATTTGCTAAAAGAGGTGGACATTTATTTTGGGCCGTGACTTTCGTGGAGTTGCAATGGGACTTATAATTTGTTTGGGTTGAACATTAATTAAAGGAGCCTAATTGTGATTTGGCCCCACGATTGTGGAGAATTTGGCAAAAGTGGAATTACTTGGCAAGAGAGTTGTATTGGCTGAGGAGAATTAATTTGAAAAAGGCATACCTAGGAGATTGGGAGAGCACTCCACATTGAGGGATATTTATTTGCGCGGAGTATAAAAAGCCGCCAGACACACGCGGGGGATCATCATATTCACGCAAGAGAGCCGCCGCAGACAGAAGGCAGATACGCGAACATAGGACAAAGACGAGAGCCCGACAAATGGCGGAGGGAGACCGCACCCGCACACGAGAAGGATAATTATATTTTTCTCTTTTTCTTTTTATTTATTTTGTTAAGCTAGTTTTTATTTCTAGTTCCGGGGAAGTTCAACCCTACTACTTGACGATGTTTGATTGATTTACGTGGTTGATTATTGAGTTATCTTTTTGAAATTATTTGTGTTATTTAGAATAATTAACCATGATGTGTTGAGTCTTATTTAGATTGATCACCTAGATTAGGCTTTTCATATCTACAGCTGAATCAGACCTTCAATTCGTAATTGTTGTTGTGTTTAATTCATAAGAAGCTACCGAAAGACGGTTATTACTGGGGATAACACAGCCTATTTAAGTGAACGAACGCATCACTACTTAGTCTAGCCTATTTTTCTAATTTGTAAAGCGGCTAATTGTATTAAATCTTGAAAACGTTTTTTTTGGACTGTACAAGGAGTCAGGTCTAATCGTAGAGCGTCTTGCGGTTAGTAAAATTCGGGTAACAGATCGTGTCGTTACCTAGGGCTAGTAATTCCATAAGATAGCGAGATTGATACCAAAGTTGATTAGACGAGACAGTCGAGGGTGTAGACGGAACC